TTGTATTTGTCGGAGAAGTTGTGACCGAGACGATAATGGAGAACCTCTGTGACTTCTTACCGTGTGCCAGGCATGACATGGATGTTACATGGATGTATTGGTATATTTAATCTTCTTCTTGACTCTATAAAGATATTTTTTAAATATTTATTTTACAAATGAAGAAAATGAGAGTCAACAAAGTTAAACAAAATATCTGAGGTAACTGTGGTGGAAGCTGCAGTTCCAAATCCCCTTTTAAGAAAGGACTTACCCCTCATCTGTTGACGAGTCATCTGTGGCACTGCTCAACCAGGACTATGCCCTCTCTCGAAGGCAACCACATTCAGTGGGGGGATCACGTCCACTCAGCCTCACTTCAGATCATCTCATGGGGTCAGCTAAAGCCTCCTTGAGACTGCATTGCACCTCAGCTTCTAGTCAATCGTTCTTTCCCCTCTATCCTTCCTTGGGTGTTGATGCCACAAGCATTCCTAAACTAACCTGTCTACTCTCCATCTCCGAGTCAGCTTCCCAGGGACCCTGGCTGGTACCAGCCACACAGCTAGTAAATGATGGAGCCAGCAGTTGGACCGGATAATCAGCAGCTGTGCTCTAGGCCCACTAGACTACCTGCCTCCTCTGATAAATAAGCCTTGCTTATTTTTGTATCCTTGAAATTAAGCGTAGGTACTCAGTAAATATTTGCCAATTCACTTTTTCATCTGACTTTGGAGCCGTCTGTTTATAGTTCTTGACCACAAACTTCACAATCTAGTCTGTTGCCGTGAAGAAGCAGGCAAAATTCTAAAGTTCATGATTCTAGGATCAAGTCAATCGATGGTAAACGTAATTACTTCAAACAGTACAAAAACATTCTCTAATTTCAGACTTTTTTAAATTTATCGATACTTTAGGAAACTCAAAATTTTAGCAATTATACTTCTACTCCTTAAATACAAGCCCAATCCAAGTTGTATTTATGTTATTTTACTAAATACCTTTAAGGCTATTAAAAAGCAAAATGTTTTAAAAGTCTGGCTTATTCAGAAGAGCATTTGACTCTTGATCTCAGGGTCATGAGTTCGAGCCCCACGCTGGGTGTAGAGATGACTAAAAAAAATAAACAAACTTAAACAAAAAAAGGGATCCTGGGTGTACAGGGAGTGTCCATGTCACACATTTAGCCTCCCTACCCTTTAAAATCTGCACGGGGTGACTTCAAGCACCACAGCCATCTGAAGCCTTTGGCTACGACAGAGCTCTAGATGCTGCCAACAAACATTTTCGGGTAAAACAGCTCAAATTCCTTTTAACTTTAGTTTTAAGATATGATCTTGAACTCTTCGATCTTGACTAAGACCTAAGCTACAGTAGGGCTAACTTTTCAAATAGGGACTTGGGGAGCATTCTTTACAAGTGTTTGAACTGTTATTGGCTTAATCTTTTTTTTTATGTTATGTTAATCACCATACATTACATCATTAGTTTTTGATGTAGTGTTCCATGATTCATTGTTTGCGTATAACACCCAGTGCTCCATGCAGTACGTGCCCTCCTTAATACCCATCACCAGGCTAACCCATCCCCCACCCCCGTCCCCTCTAGAACCCTCAGTTTGTTTTTCGGAGTCCATAGTCTCTCATGGTTCATCTCCCCCTCCGATTTCCCCCCCTTCATTTTTCCCTTCCTTTTTGGCTGAAGTTTGCTCTCTTTTCTGCAAAGAGGAGGAAACGTTCTTTAAAAAAAAACTATCAGATAAAAAGATTAGATAGATAGATAAATAAGTTTTAAGAATGCTATGTGGCGGGCGCCTGGGTGGCTCAGTCGTTAAGCATCTGCCTTCGGCTCGGGTCATGATCCCAGGGTCCTGGGATCGAGTCCCGCATCGGGCTCCCTGCTCCTTGGGAGCCTGCTTCTCCCTCTGCCTCTCTCTCTCTCTCTGTTTCTCATGAATAAATAAATAAACTCTTAAAAAAAAAAAAAAAGAATGCTATGTGGCTCAGTTTCCTAGGAGCTCATTACAAAGTTTTAGGCTTCTGCGATTTTTCATTATCTAAATTAAAATAACCTGGGAGAAATACCAATAAGGGTCTAAGGTTAAACTATGAAGTGTTCACCCTTTTCACAGTCTGGCTCTCTGCTGCCCTCTACAGCCAAGGAAAGGCAAGGAATGGTCCTTTCTTAGGTTCTACTACTGGCCTGGGACTATTTCCTCAAGTATTTTATGCCTGTGTGTGTCATCTTGTGAGGGAAGCCCTAGTATCAGCAGAGATGTAGGGAAGAGTTTAAGGAGATAGGTATTAAATGAAAGGAGACCTGAATTCAAATTCTTAATTTTAATTTAGCAATTATGTGGCCTCAGGAAGTTGCTTAATGTCTTTGAGCCACTTTCAATCTTACTATTAATGGCTATTTATTTTATTACCTACTATATTAAAACCGATTTCATAACCATGTTTTACAAACTAAATGAAATATTAAATAAGACCCTTTGCACTTAGTGGCATGTAGATAGCATAGACAGATGGTGATAATTGTTATTTAAGATACCTGTTGCTCTGAGAATTGACAAGAGCATGAAGAAAACATTTGTTAAGCATTAACTTTGTACCAAGTACTGCACTAGCTTTACATACATATTCCCATTTAATTCTTATGACAATCTGATGAGATTAATGATAGTATTCCTATTATTTCATTAAAGAATTTCAGCCTCAGAAAGATTGAGAAAGTTTCCCAAGGTCACACTGCTAGACTGTGACCTACCTAAGAGCAGGATCTGTGTCTTGTTTAAATTCCCACCATCTATCATGGAGTAGTCTTTGGTGAATGAACACATGAACAAATGAATGAATGAACTGGGCAACATATAAATGAAATCTAAGCCTTTTTTTCCAGGTAGTGCAGACTTTACATATGTCACATTCAAGGAAACAAGTCTTACTGAAATATTAAGAATCATGTAGATCATTATTATGGATTCATAAAAGGTACCGAGTGTTACTCATGACCTTATGCTGAATCTGTTGGTTTATACAATATATTTTGGTTCCAAGTGTTTCATGAAGTCTGTGGCCAATTATTAGCTGACCATTATTGGAATAGAGACTTCAATGGACACACACAACAAAGAATACAGACTTCATAAAATTAGTTCAGAAAAGTAACTAAACAAACAAGTACAAGAATCAACAACCACAAACACTAAAAGTGGATTATACTATTCAAATATATAATATTCAAAATGTCCTGTTTTCAACAAAAAAATTGTGAAACACACAAAGGAACAAAAACGTACAGTCAACACACAGAGGAAAAAAACAAAAACAAAAACCCACAGTAGTATAGAATAGAAACTGTGCTTTAAAAAGCCCAGATGTTAAACTTACTAGATGAAGACTTTAAATTGGCTATTTTAAATATGTTCAAAGAGCTAAAACAATTTCTAAAGAACTAAAGGAACTGATTAAACTCTCCAGTTAGGGGCGCCTGGGTGGCTCAGTTGGTTAAGCGACTGCCTTCGGCTCAGGTCATGATCCTGGAGTCCTGGGATTGAGTCCCTCATCGGGCTTCCTGCTCGGCGGGGAGTCTGCTTCTCCCTCTGACCCTCTTCCCTCTCGTGCTCTCTATCTCTCATTCTCTCTCTCTGAAATAAATAAATAAAATCTTTAAAAAAAATAAATAAACTCTCCAGTAAAAAGGCAGAGATTGGTGAACGGATTTTTAAGAGCAATATCCAATTATATGCTGTCTACAAAAGACTCACTTTAGATTGAAGCCCAGGTACAGATTGAGAATAAAAAGATGGAAGAAGATATTCCATGCAAACTGTAACCAAGAGAGACCTGGAGTGGCTATACTAATATCAAAGAAAGTAGGCTGTAACACAAAGATGTTGATACTGAAGAGATGGCAGGAAAACCAGAGGAAACCTCTAAGCTGTACTTGACTGGAGCTTGGGATGGACCTCATGGCGAGAAATACACATGATGACAGGACCATGCTTTATTAAACTGTGTGTGTGTGTGTGTGTGTGTGTGTGTACGCGCACGCGCACGCACATACACGTGCAGGTACCTTCCCCACAGATTTCCTCTACTCAGTAAGACCACCAAGCTATCCCTGCAAAGGCAGTAAGCAGAGGTTCGCAGGTGGGGGGGTGGCACCAGAAGTGCTCACTTCATTTGTCATTTGTCTCCCTCTCAGGAATCTCAGTCTAGTGCTGCCTGTTGTCCAATGTCTGTAAACTATTGTTTTGTGTATTTTGTCCAGTTGTCTAGTTCTTTGAGAGTGGGAAGTAAATCCAGTTCCTGGATTTCTATCATGGCCCAAAAGATGTAAAAAGTTCATAGTCATTCATTCAGTAAATATTTATTGAATACCTACTGTATATTAGGAACTGTGCAGAGTCCTGGGATGCACTATTGAACTGGAAGAGGTACAGTTCATGCCCTCATGGGGCATGAAGGGAAGAACAAAAACAAGTAAGCATTCAAGCAATATAAACCCTGATAGGTGATTAGAGAGAGAGCAGAGTACTGTGAAAGCATATAATAGGGAGAATTGATTTAATCTGTGCAATCAAGAAAAGCTTCCCAAAAATAAAGAACATTTTAACTAAGATTTAAGGAATAAGTTTTGGTATATGTGTGTGGATAATGGGAAGACTGCTAAGAACAGCATATGCAAAAGGCCTGTGGCAGGATGGACCCATTAGAGATCAAGGTTGGACTTGATCTCCAACCTCCAACTCCAACCCTTAGAGTTCCCAATGAAGAAACAGAGGCTCAGAGTTTATGACATGGCTGATCATACTGCATTAGCAGCAGAGCAGGGGCTGGGATCCAGGACTCTTACCTCCAGCTGTCGTGTTCTATCCATTCCAGTATGTAGCCCAGCAGATGTAGGGAATATTAGAACATTTTATATGATGACATTTGTCATTTTATGGTCCATGACATATTATGGGCAATACATAATTTTGTCATTTATTTTCACTTAAAAATAATTATGACCAAAATTTTATTCATGATATACTTTTAATTGCCTCTATTTTTATGTATTTACAAGGAATATGCCATAAAGGGTAACTAAATGTACAAGAAAGCACAGAATAGAAAAAACATGAACATTCACACATTCAGCACACTGAAGCCACAACAGCATCATGATGGCCTGGGAGTGTTAACATGGCTTCCTAAGTGGCTAAATTATACCCAGGAGATCCTCGCTCAGCAGTGTAAGCTGTTAGTGCTTTCAAACATTTTGGGAAATGCATCCATTGCCCCATTCCAAGCTTCATTGCCATAATAAATGTCAATTAAAGCTCCTGTAAGATTTTAAACTGCAAAACTCAAGTGAAACTACTTATGTATAGACTCACACAAGACTTCCCTACATGAAGTCTCTCCTACAAGAGACATGGTGTATTTGCATTTACCATGGGATAGATATGTTCCAACAGATACACACAACCAACTTGCATTCACTTAGAAAAGAAAGTTATTTTCTCTAGCTATCAACACATCACTTTTACACGGCTTATAAACTGTTACATGTTTTATATGTTAATAGAAATCCATTTTCTTTCAACAAATGTATAGAGAGCACCTACTATGTGCCGGGACTGGAAATACAGTAGCATATGACAAGATAGAATGCCCCATCCCATCAGCATGGGGAGATCCTCCAAGATGCTAGCAGAAAGTCCCTTTCCATCCCTGACTGGATGTCTACACATGATTCTTTATAACTTTTATTTATAAGGCTTAAAAGACAATTACTCATCCAGTGCAAATATAAAACAGGGTCTTTGTTAACTTCTGAACATGGCAAAAACATTTTTTTATGTATTATGTACAGCTCACTGATTTAGGTGTCAATGAATTCCATTTCAGTTTAAGTAGCCCAAGCTGCCAATTGTTTGATATCATCATCCTCTTCTGCCCTCCTGGAAGATGCTGGAACATAAAATGGATGAAAATTAGCAATTAGTGACATTCACACCTGCAGGTTTGCATATGGGTATTAAAAGGTATATATTTATGAAACAAAAAATAAGTGCTAAAAGGGATCGACCTGGCTACTTATTTCAGGGAACTATCTGACCATAGGCAGTTGAGGTGGGCGACAGACCTGCTCGGGATCGATGTGCAGCGGAGGACGCGCCTGACATTCTCCCTGGCATTCTATCCGGCTGTGCTGGGAGGGAGGAAGAAGGCACATTTGGAAGCCGGATATTTGTCATCTTCTTATTTAATTCTTCCTGCTCCAATTCTTCAAGTTCTGCCATCAACTCATCCTGAACATAGGAGAAAGAAAGAATTATGGAATTAACGTTTCAAGAAGTGGGTTTCCTCAAACACAATAATAAGAACATCTGCTACCCAATTGATATGTGAGAACCCAGTGAAATGGAATATTTATTTTAAGACTAAGTCTTTTTTGCAACACTGAGCAATGATTAAAAAATGAATATTTTGGGTTGTGCAAATTTGTCGTAGTTAATCTTATAATACTTGAGTAAACAGTTATTCAACTAATTTGTGCTAGCTGAATATATAACCTCCACAGTTTCTAGGAAATTTACACCTTGCCTGTCATTTTCCAACGTATCTTTTCCTTTCTACTGTAACAAATTAAGAATCTGTAAAACTTTAATTGGAGCAAATATTTTCATCTCGGCTAATGCTTTTGAAAATAAAACAACAGGTATAGCAAAACCATAATGTACAGAAAGTAAAAAGAATCAAAGATACTACGGTTTCTCTGTAAAATTACCAAAGCCAATATAAATCATGCTGTGTGTTTGGGTTTAGAAAGCTTCCAAGTCAACCTAGGTACACTGTACTTCCTTCTTTTAGCTATAGTCTCAGAGAGTCTGGTTTAATCCTAAACTGTTCTCTGCCTGAAGAAACTTAGACAAGACCAGTTTGAGACTTTAAAGGCATAAGTCACCTTATGTCAGATATGAGATAACTGCAGTAGTTCAGATCTAACTGGCTTCATGAGTACTCAGGTAGAGTCCAACCCCCCTCCCCCCCTACTCTGAGAGAGGTTGGGAGTCGAAACTAAACTTGTCATTATGAGGATTCTAACACTGTCACTATTAGAAATGACCTAAGGCGCTCTTATACTCGACCAAGGAGATCCTTTGTTTATTTATTCATTCAGCATTGAACAAATTTATTGAAAGCTCATTCGTGGTCAGGTACTGAATTCAATGCTGGGGATGAAAAGTTGAATCAACAGTCTCTACACTTAAGGAACTCATTATCGAATGTGGGAGAAAGGTAATAAATCATTATCTTATATTAAAGTGAGAGTAACAATACCCTGGGCCAAGACAGGAGATACTTAAGTCAACCACAACATCTGATCAAGTCAATTTATACCAGATGTGCAGCAAGCTTAACAATTGTCTGACCACTGTTAAATCTACCTCATGAAAAGGAAATAAATCCTGAAAGTATATGTCGTCACTTCCACAGGCCATGTGAAATAATATGGCCAGTGTACTTGTGTGCTTTCGGTTTTCCACAGGCAATATGAATAAAGTGCCCTCCGAATGAATACTCTGATGCCTACTTCTGCTCACAAAATAAATGGGAACAAATACAGTAAATACAGTAATGGCAGCACACACTATCTACACTGAATGGGTGCCCAGAACTGCCGATAGCACTTGATAGTTATCAACAGCACCGAGAAGATACTGATATTTTCTCTTCAGCAAATATGACAGAATAATCATCTCTTCCATCAATTATAGACTTTGAGTACCGAACACTTGTTCACTGATAAAATAATTTTAGAATTTAAGAAACTTCAGAGATAATCTAGCAATACGGTAATTCTTCTTTTACAGATGAGAAAACTAAGGGTCAGAAAAGTGAAGAGACACAAAGTTGAGTAAAAAATGGCAGAACCCAGATGTCCTTGTGAGCCCAGAGCCCTTTCCACCACATCGAAATGCACTCATTAGATGCTTATTAGTCTAACCAGGGCTAGGCAACATTTTCTGTAAAGTGCCAGATAGTGATATTTTAGGCTTGCTGGTCACATACAGTCTCTGTTGCACAGCCTTCTTTGTTTCTATTGTTATTGCTCTTATTTTCTGCAGTCCTTTAAACATGTAACATCCTTTGCTCAGGCACCATACAAAAAGACTACGGGAAGGATTTGGCCTAAAAGCCAAATTTTCTAACCCCTGGTCTACACCATTTGGGGAGGGGGGATATATATTTTTTATTTTAATTCCAGTATAATTAACATACAGTGTTTTGTTAATATCAGGTGTGTAGTATAGCGATTCAGTAATTATAGGCATTACTCAGAGCTCCTAATGAAAAATGCACTCTTAATCCCCTTCACCTGTCTCAACCCCTGCCCCCAATCCACCTGCCCCCCGGCAACCACCAGTTTATTCTCTATAAGAGCCGGGTTTTTTGTTGTTGTTGTTGTTGTTGTTTTGTCTCTTTTTTTTCTTTGTTTTGTTTCTTAAGTCCCACATGTGATGGTCTACACCATTTTTAAAAGTTGTTGACACTCGTTCCAAATGTTTCAGGTTTCCATGGAACCACATCTTACTTAGTAGATACATCATTTTTAATACCACATAGATGTAGGAAGTCAGATTCTTTCCCATACTAATCAGAGAACTGGAAACATTTCGAAACATATAGTAGTCCTACTTATGTGTGCTTTGAGTAGAACAATTGAAATTCACAGTGCAGACACTACCATTATAATTATAGTCTTTATTATTGGATTGATTAATCTAAATGGAATGTGTGTTAATAATGCCACTCTACATTTATTTTGTCTCATAGCCTGAGTAATAAACAGAGGCAGACTAACCTCTAATTTAACAACTACATGATATGTCTGTTCCTTGCAGAGTGACACAATCTGCTTTGTTTTGCCCAGATGTGTGAGCACTTGATTCCTTGTAATGGTGCCATTTAGGCTTCAACCATTAAAAGTCACTAACTCTACATAATCACATGCTGCCTTGCCTTAATAGCTGAAAACTTAATTAGGGGGTGGTTTGCTAAACCACATTAATCTTTCTTTTAAAACAGGGTTACCAGCACTTCATTTCCCCCTTAAGACAAGTACATCACTAACAAATATCACTTATTCTTTAATGACATTTAAGAAAATATTTAAGAAACACCGCCAGCTATACATGGGAGGAAGTTATCCTTTTCAGCAACCACAACACCCTGTTCTTTACACTGTGTTACCTACCTCATCAAAGTCATCACCAAATCCAACCCGCTGAGAAAAGGCTTCTGAGATTTCTTGGGCAATATCCTGCTGCTCTGTGATCTCTTGCATCAAATCATCTATTTTGTTCAGATCCCTGGGAGATAATATACTATTGAAATCTTTTAGAAGTTTACTTTAAAATTAAGAGTTTAGATATAATCCCATATGAAAAATGAGTCAATTCAATGTAAACTCTTAGTTATTTCAGTAGGATAACAAAATTTTCTGGTGATAAGATTTATCAACTTTAAAAATAACTTGCATTTCAGGTGCCTGGGTGGTTCAGTTGGGTTAAGCAACTGCCTTCAGCTCAGGTCATGATCCTGGAGTCCTGGGATCCAAGTCCCACATGGGGCTCCCTGCTCAGCAGGGAGTCTGCTTCTCCCTCTGACCCTCCCCCCTCTCATGCTCTCTCTCTCTCAAATAAATAAATAAGTCTTTAAAAAAAATAAAAATAACTTGCATTTCAAGAAAATTAATAATCCTACATTTGCACATGTATTTTAAATATTTGATAAATAGCCATTACATTTGGGAGTCACTAGAGACTAAAACTAACAATATTTGTAGATGCATTTTGAAATTTTGACTGGTAGGTAGGGCATATGTAGAATTTAATAATATATGCTGCTGTGTATCAAGTCAGCAGGAAATGGTGCCATGGACCACCAAGGATCACCATGACCAAGATAAGCTGTGGCAACACTGAACAGTCACTGACAGCAGCCTTTTAGAGAAGCTGGACTCTGGAACCAGAGATTTTTCTAGAATGCCTCATGGCTCTGAGATCCTGACTCCCTGAGGGCTTTCCCATAGCTGCTGATGCCAGAGGGAGAACACTAATGAGAACAGGGTGAGGCCTAGGAAGTTTCTAGCACCTGAGCGCCAACCCCCACCCCCGCCAGCCCCCAGGACCCTAACCACCAGCCTAAGCTGTCAGGGTCTGAAGGCCAGGATCTGGACTGCTTCTTTACCACCCCCGTCTCTGAATCATTCCTCCAGCTCTGAAACTAGGCCAAACTGACGGAATACCAGAGAAGTGACAACTTCCCTTATTATTAAGAAAGCTAAACACTGAAACTGTGACTCCCAGTGGAATAAATACTTTGCAAGTTTCCCAGACTCTGTATATGGGAAAAGCCAAGAAGTTTTACATAAAAAGTTTTCTTTTAGCATCCTCCTATCATCCCTTATTTCCAGTTATTATAATTACATTTATAACAAACACACAAGGAACTTATTTATGACAAGGAATAAAGTCTGGGCCTGAGATTGAATTTTTCTCAAAAGGCATACAGTGGAATGCGGCTGCTCAACTATCTGGGGTGACAGGCTGTGATTCTGTGATGCAGTTAGCACCCCGCTTATAGCAATGTGAGAGGATTTTGACTCTGATAATGACTCTAATGATCTTTCTGAAGCTGTCAAAATGACATCTGATTGTCAATGAATTATCAAGGCAAGAAAATGTCAGCAAAGATGTCTTCACTGGCCCCAGCCTCCCACTCTCCCACTTTTCCCATGGACACTTCTCTATATCCCTCAGGCACTCAATTGTTCTTGCGCATCTTTGACCCAGATGTCACTCTCATATCCAATCTCAGGAAAGGATCAGGTCCCAGGCATAGATTTCCTAGTGTAGATGTAAAGCAAATTATCACCAGCCCCACTACCACTATAAATATTGACACTGAGTGCTTACTCTGTGCCAGAAACTATGCTAGGTGTATTGTATCTAGTATCTCACTGACTTTCACAATGACTACACAAGGTAAGTACTATTATTCAGCTAAGGAAATTGAATCAGGGAAAGGCAAAGTAATTTGCTCAAGGACAGCTGGTAATGAAACTGGGATTATAACTCAGAAAATCTGACCTCAAATCCATCTCATAGCTATTATTCTAGGTCAGTGTTTCCCAAACACCTGTTAGTATCAGAATCACCTGGGGAACTTGGTGATTAAAAACAAAAAGGCCCAATCCCTACCTTTCTTCAAGGAGCCTGGGCATCTGTGTTTTCTTTTGTAGTTTTCCAGGTTTGATAACCAAAGTTTGACAACCATTATTCGATAATTCTAACACTCTCGCAGATGTTGACATTTAGGCCTTTTTAAAAATATAGTGTGATTCATGGAACACTACATCAAAAACTAATGATGTAATGTATGGTGATTAACACAACAATAAAAAAAAATTAAAAAAAAATATATAGTGTGAGGGGCACCTGGGTGGCTCAGTTGGTTAAGCATCTGACTTCAGCTTAGGTCGTGACCTCGAGTCTTGGGACTGAGCCCTGCATTGGGCTCCCTGCTCAGTGAGGAGTCTGCTTGTCTCTCTCCCTCTGCCCCTCCCCCTGCTCATGCTCTCTTTCTGTCTGAAATAAATAAATAAAATCTTTAAAAAAATTTTTAGGGTGCCTGGATGGCTCAGTGGTTAAGCGACTGCCTTTGGCTCAGGTCATGATCCTGGAGTTCTGGGATCGAGGCCCACGTCAGGCTCCCTGCCCAGCGGGGAGTCTGCTTCTCCCTTTGACCCTCCCCCTGTCTCATGCTCTCTCTCTCTCTCTCTCTCTCAAATAAAATCTTTAAAAAAAATTTTTTTAAAGCCTAAAGTATGAAAGTATTTACAGGTGGAGTATCAGACACTATTGAGACAACTGGGAAACATAAGGGCGAAATGAATGTCTTCATTTTCTCATGGTCTTTTTTTTTTTCCTACTCTAACTTCTAATCTTTCTTTGATGGGGCATTCCATTCCAACATGTCAAAAAACATCAAATGAGTAACTCCATTCCTGCCAAATCATCATATAGCTCCAAAGGCTCTTCTCAACATTGAGGGAATTTATGACTTGGAGGGAGACCAAAGTCACTCACATGTTTTCATGAACCGCTTTCATCGCTTTTGCCGCAAAGCCCATGTTTCTTAACACCTCAGTGTTGGTGTGTGAATTTTCCAGGGCTTCTCTCTGGAACTCAATGGTAGAAAGTGTGCCATCAATCTGAGTGAGCTGCTTCTCAAACCTCTTCTTTCTCTTTAGTGCCTGCAATGCAGCTAAATAAGGGAGAAGCCACATTTATAAGGAGAAAGCCCAAGCCACTTACTCAAGAGACATTTGCTCAACACCAACCATAGACTCAGCATTCTTGATCCCTACAGACACGGAGGATGCCAAATACAGCTGACAAACTACACTAACATTTGTCCTTTCAATCACCTGCACCAACTACCACTCCCTCAAACATTTTGCTATTCTTTAAGATCTGGCAAGAGGATGAAAGTGTCAGTTTTCATATTCCATTAAAATATATCTCAGAAGTATTTCTGTCAGTATAGGATTTTAGAAAAAGAATAGACAAAAATATGAGTAAAAATCATGCCGTAGAAAAATAAAACTTTAGAGGAAGAAAAAAATCATAGTAACTGTCTATTCTAGCCCAATTTCTTTATTTCAGAGACAAGCTAAGTTATGTGACTTTCTTGAAGGTAGACAGTGACTGGCAGCTGGAACCAAACCTAGGATGATGAGGTTCATGTCTTGGTCTAAGATGATTATGAGATGGTCAGCCATGAGCATCCATAAAATCAACACTGTTAGAGTCATACTCAAGGATTAGATGGCATGCTGGTAATAGAAAAGAGTGTTGCTTTCAGCGAAATATCCAAATACCCTCCTGTTTAGTTCTTTACCTGCTTCATTTGAAAATCACAAAACTAACAGAGTCTTTTTGACTCTGGCACTCCCGCCAAAAAAGACCTTAAAATAGGAGTTTTGATAGGGTATTTAAGGAGAGTGCAGGAAAAGCGCAGCAGAAGAATGTTAATATAAACATAATTAAATGGAATTGGCAAAAGAACTCCAAATAGCTTTAAGGTTTCAGAGTGAAGCACGTAAGTTACTGCAAAAGAGATCTGAGAGAAGGCTCTCTTTGAACTCTGTTTTGGTCGATTTATTCTTATAATTCCAAGAGATTTGGTTTACTTATTCTAATGCTTTTTGTTTGGTGCACAAAGACTCATAGTCATTACAGTTTCTTGTCAGATTTTACTGGCATCAATATGAAATATTACTCTATGTCCCATTTAATCCTCTTTGCCTTAAATTCCATTTTGTTTTATATTAATGTTTTGGCTTTTTGTTACAATTTGCCTATAATAATTATGGGGACCTCTATTTCAAAACTGTTTTCGATTTGCTCTATTGCACCTATTACAGATAGCATATACTTGAATATGTAGTTTGTGTGACTATTTTCAACCCATTCAGATAGTCTCTATCTTTTAATGTAAGATTTTAACTCATGTTTATTTATGGTGATAACTGATACGTTACCTAATATCGTCTTTTTATTATCATCTTTTTGTGTTTTCTGTTGTATTTTTTGTTTACTTCTGCTGTCTTATCTTTATGTATATTGATCAAATTTTCTTTGTTCATTTTCCCCCCTTTAATTTGTTGGACAGTTATATATACTAAATTTATTCTCCTGGGAATACTCTTATATTTTAAAAAGACACATACAATTGAGTTTTCTATCCACGTTGAAAATTAATCAGTATTGATAATTTACTGTTCCCAAATAAGATTCCTTTCTCACCCCAGACCGTCCAATGTTTGATTGAAACAACTGCAATTTTATTAGTTCTAGATGATTACTAGCTGTTTTCACTATCCTTTCAACTTTTAAGGAAACTTTTCTTAACAATTGCATTAAGTTTGACAGATTTTCTTACTAATGATTCTTGTATCCTACGTCATCCTTTCATGAATATTTTTACTTCACTGGAATATTAAAGTGGGTTTTTTTTTTTCCAGAAAAGGTGCATAGATATAAATTCTCTAAATACCTATAGGTCCAAAGATGTCATCTTGTTTCAAACTTGAATAACAGTTTGGAATTTTTTTTACAGAACTCTAGGTTTAAAATATTCCAAAAATTTTAACTATTCCATTGTCATTGGGTAATCAATATTCCAAAGTTTGATAATAATATTATTTTTATCCCTTTGTAGAAAATTTGTTAGCCTATTTCCTCTTTGGAAATGTTTAAGATTTTCTTTTTTACCTTAGAGTTATGAAATTTCACCAGCATAGGGCTAAGTGTGTGCCTTTTGTTTTTTGCTTCTCCCAACTAAATATTCGGTGAGTTTTTTTTTTTTTATTCTGAAGAATTAAGTCTTCCTTCAGCTTGGGGAAACTGTATTCTTTAATGTTTTTTATTACTTCTTCCCCCTCCATTATTTCTTGCTACTTTCTTCTTATTTTTTTCTTAAGATTTTATTTATTTATTTGAGAAAGAGGGAGAGAGAGAAAGAGAACACAAGAGAACATGAGCAGGGGAAGAGGGAGAGGGAGAAGCAGGCTCCCGGCAGAGCCTGAACCAAACCCAGATGCTTAACAGACTGAGCCACCCAGGTGCCCCTGCCTACTTTCTTCTGAAATCCCTATTTATTTTTGTTTTTTTTTTTAAATCCTTATATGATGGATGTTGGATTCCTTGGCTCTATCCTCCAATCTAATAATTTTTTGTTCTATGTTCTGGGATAATTCCTTAACTTTATATTCTGAATTACTAATTAGTCTTCAACTACATTTATTCTACTTTTTTACCCTCATTTATTTTTAATTATGTTTTTCAATTTCTAAGACCTTTTTCTTCTAGCGGCTCATTTTTATGGCAGCCCATTCTTGTCTTATAATTCAATAGGCTCTTGAATCTCCCTGAAGATACCAACACAAGTTTTGTCTTTAACATTTTTTATTTCCTACATTATCTCTCTTCTCTTGGGTTTGGTTGTTTGCTTTGCTTATCTTAACCCTTTCTTGCAATTACCTTTCATCAAAATTCTTTTGAGTCTGTGTCAAAAGCTTTCATTCATAAATGAAAGACTAGCATAATTAGTGTAAGTAGCTGGGCTTCTTGCAGTTACGTAAGTGTGTTTTCCCATGAGGTCTTGAAAGGCAAGGCTGCCCGGAAGCTCTGTAGAAGAAGTGGGTGTGGTATTCCAAGGGAGGGAGCAAGTAGATGGGCTTGACAAAGAAAGGCTTTTTTTTAGGTGTGGAACATTGTTCTCTATCTCCCTGGTGAGTGGTACCTATCTTCCCATCCCTCCCTTCCCACTGTGGAAGTCCAGGGTTATCAGGTTCTGCTTGGCTTCCCTCTCCAGGTGCAAAATCACAGTTGAAGTCCCTGCTAAATAGCACTGACATTTTATTTAGAAAACAGTTTTTATTTGTTTAACCTGTCCTTTAGGAAAGAACTGAAACAATTTTTAAAAAATTATCTGCGTAAAGGCCTTTCTATGATATCACACAATATCCCCTGTAGAGAGGCTCATCACATTAATGACCAGAGCTGTGCAAGGGCTTTCTCCCCAACATGGGAAGAATGGTCAATTGACCCCCCGTGCTAACACCCTACCTGTGGATCCATATCTACTGCTGCATTTATCACACTGTATTATAATTATTTGTAAAACCTATTGTACCCCATCTCTACTACACCAGTTATAAGCCCTTTGAAGAAAGATGTAGTATCCTATTCTCCTATTTCCCCAGTACCTGGCCCAGGTCCTGGCACACAGCCAATAAAATACATAACAAAAATTAACATTGAGTATTTGTGATATGCCAAACTAGTGCTAAGTACTTTATGCGAATTGTCATTAACTCTCACAAAAACTCCAAGAGTAGATGCTATTATTGGTCTACTTTCCAGAAGATGAAATGAATGAATATTAAATAAATAAATCTGATAATTTTGTAAAAATAGAAATGACAGCATGGTAGGGGCGCCTGGGTGGCTCAGATGGTTAAGCGTCTACCTTCAGCTCAGGTCATGATCCCAGGGCCTGGGATCGAGCCCCGCATTGGGCTCTCTGCTTGGCGGGGAACCTGCTTCTCCCTCTCCCTCTACTGTTCCCCCTGCTTGAGCTCTCTTTCTCTCTCTATCAAATAAATAAATAAAATCTAAAAAAAGAAAGAAATGACAGCATGGTATAATAGAAAAAGTATGGCCTTCAAGGCCAGAGTGTGACTTCTGTCAACAGGAAGAAGCAGGAACTCTAGCAACAAGGCAAGCATTAAACCTGATCTACCGGAAGCAACCCCGTAGGCTCGGGTCCATGTTCACCCTGCCCCGTCTCCCACAGCTCAAAAGAAGCAAGAAATCTGGATTTGCATGCAAAGTCCTCCAAATTTAAAATCTGACTTCCATGTTTCAAATCACCTTGGGTGAGCAAACCCAGTGATTTCTGCAGAGCTGGATCTGGCCCCAGGACACCAGACACCTCCTGTGACTTCTGCCTGGCACAGGATGCTTCTCCCAAACACAAAGACAAGAGCCGTATGTTCCAAAGAACCAAGAAATATACGTGAAGAGTCTCCTCGTGAGCTGGTTCTCACATGAAATGATGATGCCTCAGGCCCACCAGGAGTTAGACGGGCTTTGATTTTGTTTTCTAATACACAATTTGGGAAAAGAAAACAGCTGCCTATTTTCAAAGACAAGGAACAAATATTGCAAATTTAGCAGTGCTCCCGATTTGGCAAAGAAGGACGTTTTCAGAGCCATGTAATTTAACCTGTGTAGGAGGTGCAATTCAATCTTCAAACTCCTGTATGTGCTTTTAAGCAGCGGGTGAGACCTGGACAGCATTCTTTCTGAAACAAAGGAATCTACTGTATTCTTTTGTGGTGGAGAAACAGCCAGGGGTTTTGTCACTTCGCTTCACAGTGACGTTCCTTCAGCAATGGAATCGCAGAACAATACCCTGTACGGACTGCTGCTAAGGATACATGAAGAGCCCTTACTACTGCCCAGTGAGCATGGCGGCTGAAACTTAAGAATTACTCACTTGAACCAAAATTCCACCAGCCTTAAGTCACTTTACTCCACTACTACATGGCCAGAGGAGGAAGGCTTTCAGTCATCTATGAAAAATGACTAGAGGGGCGTCTGGGTGGCTCAGTTGTTGAGCGTCTGCCTTCGGCTCGGGTCATGGTCCCAGGGTCCTGGGATCGAGCCCCACATCGGGCTCCCTGCTCCGCGGGG